GCATTTTCTAACTCCAGTGCATCCCTGCTGTCTCTGCTGCACCCCATGCCATGCATCCCCCCATCTCTGGTGCATTCCCCCTGTTCCATACATGCTGGCCCTCCCTGCTGCATCCCCCAGGGCACCCCTGCTGTCTCTGCTGGGTCCCCCAGTGCGATGCTGCCCAGTCTGCCCCATCCTGCTGTACATCCTTTCCAGGGTTGCTGTATCCCTCTGTGCATCCCCTCTGCCCCACTGCATCCCCAGGGCACCCCAGCCAGCTCTGCTGCTGTCACCATGTGTCCCTGCTGCATCCCCACGGGCCCCTTGGAATCCTCTGGTGCATCCCAGCTTTCCCTTCTCCATCTTCTTAGGGCACCTCTCCCGTTCCCTCCACAGCCCTTTCTCCCTCCTTTCCACTCACAAGGGATCACCTTGTCCCTCCCTGTGTCCCCTCACTTCCCAGTGCATCCCACAATCCCCTCCCTGCCCAGCCACCCCACCCATCCTTGCAGCATTCCCCATACCATGCCCAGTCCAAAGGACTCCAGACCCCCCTGAGCTGCATCCCTGTCCCTGGTGACCCCCAACGAGGTTGTTTGTCCCCACTGACTGCTGTCCCCTCCTTGCAGAGTCCCCCAGCCCCAGCGCGCAGGAGCCCGGGCCAGCCACGCCCGAGCAGCACTGGCCCTTCCCGGGGCCCGAGGACAAGGCCATCGAGCCCCCCGGGGACGAGCCCAGTCCCAGGCCAGTGTGGACAGCGGGGGGTGATGCCCTGGGGGACCTGGTGACCCTGGAGCCCACCGAGCCCTCCCTGCCACCTGTGGCTGACGAGCCCCAAACTGGGGAAGCCCCCAACCCTGAGAGCCTCATCGACCTGTGGCAGAGTGACGGGGTGACTCCCCCAGCTGCCTGGCCCCTGCCTGCTGCCCCTGTCCCCGAGACACCCCCGGCCATGCTGCCCGAGGAGGGGGCCCTGCTGAGCCTGGATGAGCTGCCTGAGCCCCCCGCCACCTTCTGCGATGTGGAGCAGGAGGATGAGGATGAGGAGGAGGCAGCTGGTGAGGGAGAACCCCAGGCCCAGGATCTGGGCTGCCAGCACACGCCCCAGGAAGACACCCCGGGCCGAGAGACGCCCCCCATCACCAATGGGGAGATGGCCCCCAAGGACGGGACACCGGGTCGTGGGGAGCAGGTGAGAATCACTATGGGGAGAGGTCAGGGGGTGATGGGTGGCTAGGGAGGGTCCTGACAACCTGCCTCCACCCCCCAGGCCAGCGAGGGCTACTTCAGCCAGTCCCAGGAGGAGGAGGTGCCCCCCTCCGAGGAGCTGTCGGCCAAAGCCCCCCAGCCCGTCTTCTACAACAAGCCCCCAGGTGAGTGAGGACAGTGAGGAGGGGGAGTCTGTCCCTCTCTGGGGCACCCCAAGTCATCCTGACCCCTCTCCCTGTCCTCCAGAGATCGACATCACGTGCTGGGATACAGACCCTCTGCCCGAGGAAGAGGAGAGCTTTGGGGGGGCCCTGTAAGCCCAGGCCCCGCTGCCGGCACAGGCAGCTCGCCCCGGCCGGCGCGGGGCACGAGGGGGCTGCAGCCGGGGGCCGGGCCCCCCTCACCCCTCTGGGGCCCCGCAGGATGAGGCCTCCAGGTGGCGGCTGCCCCGCTGCAACCCCGCCCCGGGGCACCTTTTACAGCCCCCCCTTCTCCTCCTCTCTTTTTTAAGTTGTCGGTAGGAGCCGTGTCAGCCCCCCAGCCCTCCCTTAGCAGCCCCCCCCCGGTACCCCAGCGCCCCTTTGGGGGGGACGACACACGCTCGCATCCCCTGCCCGGCTGTGGGACAGGGTCCTCGTTCTCTTCGTGCCCCCCCGGGAGCCCCCTCAGTACTTTGCACGAGTTCAAAGAAAAAACAAAAAAGAAATAATAATAATAATAAATGAATATGGCAATAAAGTGATCCGACCGAGGCAAGGCTGCGGCCAGCGGCGTCCCCCCCACTCCCCAAACCCCGGCAGGGAGCTGGTGTGGGGGCTTTTACCCCTTCCCCACTCCTTCTTTGCTGGGAGTCCCATCCTCCCCTGCTTGGCCCCTGCTTGGCCCCTCTCCCCCCATTCCCCCCGGAAACTTTTTGGAAAGCACAAGTTCTGTACCGGCGGTGTGCTCATGTCTGTTAATAAATAAAGCGTCTCCCACGGGGGCTGCAGCCTGCTGGGGCAGCAGGGAGGGCTGGGAGCGGGGGGGCTACAGCTGCCTTGGGGAGGGGGCAGTCCCACCATGCCAGCCCGCCAGGAGGCAAACCCGAGCCACAAACTTTTATTCTCAAACTGTAACAAACAAAAAATTTAAGAAACAGAGCAGAGTCCGGGTCCCCAGCGCCCCCGGCCATGGGGGGGCCGGCAGGGGCCAGACGGGGAACCAGCCCCTTCCGCGCCGGCGGCGATGGCCCGCGCCGGGGCGGGTGTCCCTGGGGTGACACGAGCAACCGAAACCCCCCCACCCCCCCAGGTGCATGGCAAGGTCCGGGCGTCCCCCGTGGCCGCTGTTAGACAGCGGTAGTCCTGCCGAAGAGGGGCATGGAGACCGGGAGGTGCCAGGGTCCCGTCTCGTAGGTGTCCCTGCTGCTGAGCTCCGAGTCCGTCCAGCTGGGAAACATGCGTGGGGAGCACTCCTGCTGCAGGTAGAGGTCTGGGCAGGCAGGGCCGGGGCTGGCTGAGCGGGGCAGGTGCAGCGCTGAACCGTAGCCGGCGTCCAGGAAAAGGGGTTTGTAGCTGGGAGGCTGCTCCTGCTTCTCCAGCCGCTCATGGCTCAGGAAAGGGGCGTTGATTTTGCGGTAGAGCCCCCGCGTGTCCATCAGCACCTCGCTGTACGGCGGGGGGGGCTCTGCCATCAGCAGTGCCTCCTCATAGCACGGCGGCTTTGACAGGTCCGACTCTGCAAGGCAAAGCCCCCCCCGGACCCCTGCTGCCGTCAGCGCTGCGCCCCGGCTCTCGCGTCGTATCCCCCCCAAAACAGGGGGAGGCACGTGCTCCGGGGATGCGAGAGCCCCTCCCTGCTCCTTACCGTGCCGGCAGCTCCAGGGCCGGGGGGGTGGGATGTGGTGGGGGTGATGATGGTGATGGTGGGGCTCGAGGCGGAGGCGGTGGGGAATGGCGATGCCGGGGGGGCTGCCCCCGTAACCCTCGTAGTGCAGTGGCTCCATCTCCAGCGCGCGCAGGCTCTGCTCCCGCAGCCGCTCCTCCTGCTGCCGCTTCACCCGCCGCCGCAGGTAGCTGCAGAAGCAGCACAGCAGCACGATGAGGCCCCAGATGAGCCAGAAGCCCGCGAAGCAGGTGAGGAAGGTGTAGGTGCCCTGGGACATCACCATCTTGGCAGCCGGCCCCGGGGGGGAGGCCCCCGCCTCTCCCTGCCCTCGGGATGGGGGACGGGATGCTCAGGGCGGCGGCAGGGTCAGGGAGGACCCGATGCTGTCAGGGCCGCCGAGGGCATCTCCCCGGGCCCGTGCCCGGCGCCGTCTCCTCTGGCCCGCGGGCGCGCCTGCCGTCAGGGGTCCGTCCTCGCCATGGAGCTGGGGGGGGCTGGAGCGGGTGGGTCAGGCCTGGGTGCGCCGGGCGGGCGGTGGGGCGGGGGGCCGGCGGGGCGGGCGGCGGGGGGACGGGGCTGCCGGGGTCCCGCTGCCCATCGCTGGGGGGGGACCGCCGGGGTGGGGGCCCTGCAACGAGACAGACGCGAGCGTGAGTGACTCGGAAACGTGGATGCCCTGTTCCCATGGTGACTCACTCCACATGCGCCGCAGCGCCTGCAGCCAGGGGGAACCGTGCCTGGCACCCCATGCACCCCCCACCATCACCCCCATAGATGCAAACCTGCGCAGCCCCCCTAGAATCGCCCACGGCACTGCTGAGCACCCTGGGGTGGGAGATGGATGCTGCAGTCCCACAGCATCATCCTCAAGATCACGGGGTGCCCAGAGGGATCCCCTTCTCTTTGCCCACCCAGTGCACCCTAAATTGGCTGCTGAGCCCTGGCAGCTCATCCCGGTGCTGCCACACAGGAGGGTGACCCGGGGAGGAGGGACAAGCAGAGGTGCCACACGTGGCGCTCACGGGAGCACGTGCACCGAAGCCATCGCTGGCCTCGCAGCCCCTGGGGATGGTGGCACCCCAGCACAGCAATGCAGGCCAGGGCTGGTGGTGATGGGAACCATCACCTTCGCCCTTTAGGCAGGGTGACAGCTCGGTCACATCCAGTCGAGCATCAAATGTCAACCGTGTGTGCCAGGGGCCCGTCCGCTCCTCAGTGAGCAGCGAGCAGCACCCATGGGTGCTCACAGGCAGGCACGTAAGCACCCGTCACCATTCTCATTATCGTGGTGTGGGAGAAAACGGGCTCGGCAGCACGGAGAGGGTGAACTTGGAGCGACGGCAGCCGAGGGCTGGGTGACCACGGCGACACCATCACTCCTTCGGAAAAGGGCGAAGGGGCGCGGGGTGCTCCATCAGCCCGCGGTGCAGGGACACGCTGCTGGCAAGGGACCACGGCAGGGCCGCCGGGTGCTGAGGGTGCCGGCGGGGCCGAAGGCCCGAGCCCGGCGGAAGGAAGAAGCGATGGGGAAGGAAGGAGCCGGGGGCCCTGACCACGCTCCGGCGGGCAGCGGGGGCTGCTCCATCACGCAGACAAACGTGTGGGCTGAGGCAGCGCCGGGATGTGGGTCTTAGGGGAAGGGGTGCCCTGGCTGAGGCCAGCTCGGTTCGGGCAGCGCTCGCCACATCGGCTGCAACAGGCTCCGCGCCGGCAGCCTGGGCATACCCGGGGAGGAGAGGTACCGTGCGGGAAGGGCCGTGGGTCGAGCCCCGGGATGACGGCCGGGGGAACACCGGGAGGCGGTGCAGGATGGGCTGCCGGCGCCGCGGACCGGGGGCGTTCGCAGCTGGGGCGTGCGGGGGGAGCGGGGCTGCCGGGGACGTGCGGGCTGGGGGAGGAGCGGGGCCGGGCTGGAGACACTCACGCCGGGCGGAGAGCGGAGCGGCCGCCGAGCCGGGCCCCGCCGGTAGCCCCGGGCCGCCCCGCTGCCCCCGGCCGCGGCCTGGGCCCCGCTGCCAGCGTCGCATCCCTGCTCGGTGCCTCCGGGGAGAGGGTGACACGCCGGCGGGGAACCTCCCCGCTCCCCGTGCCGGGCGCGGCACCCCTTCCTCATCCTCCTCCTCCCACGGGGCGCGCGCCCGCCGGGGCCGGACCGGAGATGCGCGCCCCGGTACGCGCCGCGCGCCCCCGCCGCGGCCCCCGGTGGCGGCTCCGCGCGCCCCCGCCCCGGCCCCACTGCCCCCGCACCGCGCAACAGGCGGAGGCGCCGCGCCCGCTCCCTCCGCGGCTCCCGTTACCGGCGGCGGCGGCGCACGTGGCTCAGGCGGCGGGCGGCGGCTCCATAGGGCGGCGGGGGAGGGGGCCCGGTGCGCGCCCGGTGCGCGGCACCGCCGCCGCCTCCCGGCGCTGCCTTTGTCTCCGGTGAGCGCTCCCGCGCCGCCGCCGCGCGCCGCCCCGCCCGCCCGGGCTCCCGCCCCGCCGCTCCGCCCCGCCCTCGGCTCGGGGAGGGATCCGCGGACCCCCCGCACCCCCCGCCCCGGGACCCGCCGCCGCTCGGAGGCTACCGGCCCCGGCCCCG